CGTCTTGGCCTGCTTCCTGAGGCGCTCCAGTTCATTGAGCTCCTTCACCAGCTGCTCCTTGCCGCAAGCTTTATTAAGCCCATCCTCAACACATCGCAGGTAAGAATAACTCAGCGGCCAAAGCTACGCGCGTTATTTGCCGATTCGAAAGGTTGACGCGTGTGTGGGGAACAACGGCCATTTTGCACCGTCTCCATTTGTTGCAAACAAACTAATATGCGCCCAGGCTCCAATGTGCGGCAGGGTGGAGCCTCCGAACTTTCTGCCGCACATTCTTCTTCCGCACCTGTCTTGGCAACCTGGAGGCATGAGCCGCCGAGCCGCAAGCTGTGCTCTTCAAATTAGATTGGCCCTACGGAAGGCTCTCATGCTCTCTGACCGCTTTGCTGCCAACATGCAACCGACGTTGACATGCAACCATCATGCTCTCTGATAGGTCGTACTGGAAAGGTGCAGCGTTTCGCTTCGTCTCATACGTGCAATTGACCTTCAATTATAGGCTTCAGACTTTTTTGGGGCAGGGTATGAGCACTCAATCATCCTCTGCATGAGGCCAGGGCTACAAACAAGGGAGAGCCCCAGCTGTCTTCAAGATCTGAGCGGACCAGCGAGGCCTCGATGAGTTGGTCGATCGCCTCGAGACCCTCAGCCTCTTGCGCCAGCTCCTCCATCTCCGCCCTCATGAACTGCCGCTCCTGGGGCTCACTTGAATCAGTTTGATCAAAAAGGCTGCAATTCAAGCTGCCCTCCGCCCTGCTAACAATCAGGCATCACATAAAGCGAGGGTCAAAACTTAATTGGGGATGTGAGCCAGGGGGGTGAAGTGAGTGAAACGCCCGTCTGGTGAAAGCGGATGGGGACAAGCATGTTCAAGGAGCTTTAGACGCTTCAAACGAGATGTCAGTGGCAAACCCCAACTGAAGAACATGACTCCAAGGGGGTGACAGCCTTGAGAAGCAGAACTGTCCAAACTAAAACAGCAAGTACATGGAAGCTGAGATTCATTGAGTCGGAGAGGAACCTCCTACAGAACATTGGAGAACAATCATGGCGTGTGCCATGGATGTATTGGGGCCATCCGGGGCCCTGTCAGCTTCCACGTTTGCTTGAAGAAAGAAACTGGTTCGCTCGCTGTGTCCACCAACTGCCGGCTTCTTCCGCACCCCTGGACCCAATTACGGGGGGTGTCCAAAAATCAGGTATTCCGTGCGCAAAGTGTTTGAGGCCACGACAAATCAAGCTATTTGAAGGGCTAATGAATGGTTTGTGATATGCGTATATTCCGTTAAATGTCAAGACCCCCCCCCCAAAAAAAAAGAAGAGGTTGCTTCCTTCTTGGTTTCCTTTGAAACCAGCAAAAAAAGTTCCCCGAGAAAAATCCAAAAAGGCACACCCTACGCTGATCAAAATTGGTGGATTAATCCTAATCCATATTTGTCTTGAACATCACTACAAAGAAGACCCCCTTCTGCACCTCAATGGAAAGACTACCCTCCTACCAACAAACATGGAAGTGCAAACAAACACATTTCGACCAGTACTGTGCTCATGAAAAGGCTTCTTTTCCACTTCTATGATTGTCGGCAAAACAAGGTAGCTAGGCGCTAGGCATAACCAGGCTCGACATGTCAAAGAAACAAAGGACATATATAGATTGTTGGCAGGAGGCGCGGCCAACCAACCCCAACCACACCAAACCAAACCAGCCAAATCGGTTCTGTATGACCATGGCGCCTCTCGCTTCAGCGCCCGCTGCTGGCGCCGCATCTCCTTGGCCTCCCGGCGCCAAAGCTTCATCTCCTGAGGCGAGCCGAGCGAAAGGCTCGGCGTGAAGTCGTGAAGGGAGAAAACCAAAAACACGCAAATGCAATGTGAGGGAGTTTATGCCATAGAATAGCGTGGCATATCTTTGATGCCCGTAACCCGCCTCCACGCTCCTCAGAACGCGAGGTTCTGAAGGAACCTTCTTCGAAAGGGGCTCTTAGACGGGTTTGGAGAAGCATTCTGGGGAGGAAGGCTGGCCCCTGAGAACAGCCCAAGGCCATCTGTGACCTGAGTTGGCAATAGTTGGCACGCCTCCTTGCGTCCAAGTGTCCAACGCCTTGGCATCAAGGCTACCGGGTTCTGGTTCCAGGTTCCCACCCACGTCTGCCTCTCTTTGCTTGGGCTCATGCCTTCTGTCTCGTTTTTCCTTTGCTTCCTTTCCCTCCTTTTTATCCTTCTTATCCCTCTGCTTCTTGTCCTTCTTTTCTCTCTTCTCCTTTTTCTCCTTTTTCTTGTGCTTTTCCCTCTTTCCTGCGTCCGCTGCCTTTGGCTCAACCGGCACGTCTTCCCTTGAAGCAGCGTGCTGAATCTGCGCATCCGCCGCATCCACCTTCTGAATCTCGCTGTTGCGCTCGAGCAGCTCGGCGAGCGTCTCTGCATCGCTCGCCAACCCTTCTGGCCTTTGTGGCCTCTCCAACCCGTCCAGCCTCTTTGGGCTTTCTATCCTCTTTGCCATCTCTGGCCTTTCCGGCCTGTCTGGCCGCCTCTCTGGCTTCTCCAGCCTCTCTGGCCGCTCCAGCCTTTCTGGCCTCTCACCCTGTCGCCGTTTCCTCTCCTTCCTCTCCTTCTCCTTCTTCTCCTTCTTCTCTTTTTTCTCCTTCCTCTCCTTTGTTTCCCTTTTCTTTGGCTCTTGCCCTTTCGGTCCTTCTTGCTTCCCCGTCTCCAGGTCAATCACTGCCGGAGGTTCCTCCCGGCGTCGCTGGGAGGTGGCAGCGATTCCGGACTTCACAACCCTCAGGTCGCTGTTGGTCCTGCAAAAAAACCAAGACAAACAAAAGGCTCCGGCAGGTTTGGGCACGGACCCCCAAGTCGGGTTCAAAAGTGGCCTGCTCACGGAGCATGACAAATGACGCTGACCACATTGGCAGAACCACCCGGTTGCATCCTTCAAATTGGCGACAATGCCTTGCCACCAGTGTGGCCTTTGTGTACATGGGACAAGCAAACGGCAACAATTGCTCACAACTCAAGAGCGACCTTAAAAGCAAGACCGAGCAAAAGTTTGGAGTAAACTTGGATTGCCAGGCTCAGGTTGCTCTTATCATGTCAACCACGGGTGGGCATCTCATGAGATTGCAGTGAAGAAGAAAAAATGTCGGTCTGGGGATCCTAGGCTACAAGCCAAAACTTGCCTTCACGGTCGTTGTTCAGATTTTTCCCGATCAAAGCGTCTGACAGAATGCCCGCAATCCCTTAAGCCAAGATCACCACACCAAAGGAAAACTCACTTTAAGCTTGCCCCCAAAGGCGATGACCATCTGCCCACAAACAAAAATAAAGGAAGACATGTATCCAGCGATCCTGGAAAAAAAGGAAGGGGATACTTGTGGCTTCCCTTTTTTTCAGCCAAAAGGTTCAACATCGACACCTCCAAAGAGAGCTGCAATTTTGGTGGGCCGAAGCTGCCTCCTGGAGATCTGCTGCTGGACCTCTGGCAGCTTCCTGGCCCACTGAGCCGCTTCCAGCTCCGCCTCACGATATTCGGGACCCCAAGTTGCAAAGGGTGTTCCCAGCAAGGTTGGTCCACACCCTTGCTTGGTTTCCGTTACTTGTCAGTTGGGGCATCCAACCCAAAGCCCAAAGAAAAAACAAACACAACAAAAGGGCTACGTTCATTTCTTTGACAGAGCATTTCTAGCAGGCACTCTGCTCACGGCTGTTGAGATTCCAAGCCAAGAAGTGGAAAAGCTGGTTGCAAGATTACAGTGGAACGCTAGCAAACCCCCTAAGTGATTTGATACTAAAAACAGGCAACAAAAAGGGCTCCTTGCAGCACCTTTCTACGGTTGGGACTGCCCCCTTTAACTACTACCACGTACACACCAGTTCTGAATTGCAGCTGAGACTGATGTCTCGCTAATTCTGAGCGCATCAATGTGCCCAGCATGCAAGCGGGTGAAGCAAAGAAGCCCACAACAAACATCGCAGCAGACTGAGCAGACTGCAACAAGAAAGCAGGTGTCTCGGAAACCCTGTGCGACTGGCCATGGCAAAACCGGCCTTCAGAGTCATGCAAAATAATGCAATGCACCCAACACTGAAACCGTGGCGTGACAGTTCGAGCATAACCTAGTTGAGGAGTTCCGATGTTGTGCTACTTCTGCTTCCTCTTCTTCTGTCAAGTTGTGATCAGCTCCTTCCGTCAGGCGTATGCGTGTTGAACTGATGAATGCTACCTTGCGAATGGGTGCAAGTCGGCTTTGCTGCACCCTCCCATCCATGGAACCTGACTGGGGAGGGGGGTCCTGGTTTCGGCAAGTTCCCTCCCAAAGAGATGCTCGGTGGTTCCATGGCAAGCTGTATGGGATAATGCTTGTGGCTTGGAGGTTTCTCTGCCCTTCGGTTTCCCTTTCACAACAAACCAACAAAAGGCCCACCACTTAGAGCACTCTCCATACTGTGCATGGACAAATGTCTTCACCAGCTGGGACGGATAAAACCCTATGATTCCCTATCAAAGCTGAGGTAAGCAACCACACAACCACAAAAGTTGCAGGTCGACCTCACCATGCTGGGCCCCACCCCCCACCGCCCGCCTCCGTGAAGCCCACGCCTGCCTTGCCCCGGCGAGACCGCGCCTGCCGCGCCGCCTGCCGCGCTTGTACAAGCTCCTGGCTTGCGAAAGACGACACGTCGGTGAGGGAGGTCCTCTCAAAAAAGCGGCGCTATTCTGGGGTTGCTGAAAGGGGGGCCGGGATTTGGTTTCCCCAAGCAGTCGCAAGACTTTCCTAGCGCAGCTCTAGTAACCAACTCTGGGGCAAACGACACCAGCCGTTGCCCCAGCTCCTCATGCCGCTTGATAAATTTGGACATGGCTTCGCTCGACAAGATCTAGGGCTCAGCTTCAAGGACCATACTGAAAGGCTTATCTAGACAGCATGTGGGTGCCCCACCTATGGTTTCCGGTGCTACACTCTTTCAGCATTCGTAAAGGGGGAAGTCACAGGTGGGGCATCCAGAATAGCCAGTTTAGGTTCCTGGGCAGTTCAGAACACCGCCAAGATGATCAATATATTAATATACACACACACATACACACACACACATATATATATATATATATATATTATATATATATATACATACGTCGGGGCAAAGGGCTATGAAAGGTTCTGGTTCAGCCGGGTCGAGCATGAGTCTGAAACTCGGCTTGGTGGCTACGATGCAGGCTTTTCATTAGTTAAGGGTAAATTGCACCGCTGTCCAAGTGAAACAAAGCTTTGAGCCGTAGCACAGCAAGGTGTGGCAGCCCGACTGTGCGGCTCGAAATGCCACACACACACACACAAACCACAATGCCACGCAACATAGCATAACACAGCGCAAACGACAACAGCGCCCTGCAAATCAAAACAAGCGCATCTGATTGAACACTCATTCCAAAATGGCCTTCTGGCTAGTTGGTTGAACTGAGGCCTGGGTGAAGCTTCTGGAAAAGAAATGTGTTGCTTCTAATCACCCCCTGCAAGAAGTATGTTGCTGTCTGCCTGCTTGGCACCCAGTCGTATTTTTGAACCACGCTTAACAAGCGGGGCTTTGCGGGATATTTGGTTAACCCCATGTCCGTCCAAATGGACCATAGACTCCTGGATGCCTTGACAGCCCCTTGTGTTCCGTAAAGCCGGACCTTCTTGCTTGCAAGGCCCGAGAACGTCATTTTGGATGGCCAGGTACGTGGCCCGAGCCAAGGGTCAGGCTTCTGCAGCGCCAGCATGACCGCCTCGTGGCCTTTCCTGGCTTACAACTGGCCGTCAGGGAGGCCAGCAGCGAAAGGCTTGCACAAGGAACCGTCCCCAAAAGGAGTCTGAGACGGATGGATTGGGGTGCCCCGTCACACAGTGAGGTGCTCACCTTCCAGTGTGAAAACACCAGAAGTCTGCACAGCTTGGGCGCCAAGCTTCTTGGTCCGGATTCTCTTGTCAGCCTGGGCAACGTTGGCACGGCATGCTCACCGATTGAAATGCCGACCGACCTGTCAAAGCTCTTGCATTCCAGCCCCAGCCAAGCTGGTATCGCACAACCTGGCCCCACCCGCCAACCTGCCCTCTGCCCCCCCCCCCGAACAGCAACGCACCACTGGGCTTCGCTGCATCTACTTGTTGCTTCCAGAGCGCCAGGAAGCTGCCCATCAAACCCACCTTGGCCGCCAGGCAAGTGCCAGGGCGTGCTCTAGCCCAAGACTAGCCTGGCCCCACGAACATTGCCAAACGCTCTGCAAATGAGTGAAACTCTGCCACCCGTGGACAGATGCACCACATTGAGGCCGCAGCTCCAGATTTGGACTCCCACGCCAAAAGGCAACGGTCCAGCATGCGGGCCTCCGACAGCATGGAACTGACGTCGTGGTTCCCGCCGGGTCACGGTTGTCAATTCACATTCAAGATGGGGGCAGCAAAAACAAGCCGTGATGAGAGCCTCAGCCTTGGACCCAACAGTGTACTGCCGATGTGACGAATGCGCAATTCCGGATTTCATTATAAGTCATCCTGCCAAATGTAGCCATTTGCCTCAATTCATGCAAGGGGCAAGCCACGGAATAGCAGTACTTGTGGCAACACATGTTTGCATATGATGCGATTCAATGGAAGAAAACAGCCCTTCAAGCAAATGACATAACGTTTCAAGCCAGGTTCCTGTCCAAATCCTCGAAACGGCGCGGCTTTCCATGCGTTGTTGCTCTTTCGCGCCTTCTGCTTGTTGCGTGCAGCCACGTGATGCCACCTTGGCACAAGGTCCATTGCAGGCTGGATGGCTCTCGCAAAACTAGCACCATCAGGAGGGGTCCCCGGTTTTGACAGGGTATATTACGCCTCTCTCAGAATCCTGGAATGGTGCGCTTCCCTTTCTTCTTCTTCTTCTTCTTCTTCTTTTTCTTCTTTGTAAGCGAAAACTTACGCCGATTTCCGGGGCCTCAGTCACCCAAACACACAAACACAACTCTTAGTTTCCCTGGTTTCCCTTTGAACCAATCCCCAAAAATGTACCCGCAAGGAAAGGCCCAATCTGGATCCCTACAGTGGGCATCTCCACTTTTGATGTTTTGCCCTTCAACCCCCCCCTTGGCTGAGACGGCCGCTCTGCCACAACTTCATGCAGCAGCCCTTCCACTTTGCCGCGCTCCCACCTGAAGCATCCGACTTCCACCGTCCACGCCGGGCCAATTGTCAGGGCCCCTGACAATTGGCCAGTCCTGTTCAAGAAGCACCTTGAGCCTCCATGCCAATAGCCCAGCGTGTAAAAGGAGACAGCTGCAGAAGCTGGGCTGATCAAGCTTGCTTGAAAACGCGGGCTGCCAACCTATTTACATAACAAGTGACACTCTAACTCTGGGAAAGCATGTTCCAACACATCCTGTTTACAACTGTGGTAGCTCCCTGTTAACACTGGGTCAACCGGGGATTGTGTTGAGACTGTAAATCAAGCACAACCTTGCCCACACCTTGTGGCAAGTACAGC